CTGAACATAAACGAAAAAACTCTCTACGAAAACGTGTGAGAATCATATCTATCTTCTCCATATTTTTCGAGTATTTTCCATTTGTTTGTGTATTATAATATCCTGCAAAAATATATAAATGGAACAATCCTTCTTTTTGGTTAGATAACGAGAGAGAGAGAGATTTTGAGACAAAGAAGAGATTTTGAAGAAAGTGTGTTGTTACCCATCTAACGAGAGAGAGAGACTACTAATTCCAGGGTTGTGATAAGGAGACCGTCGAAGTTGATGCTTCTAATCCTTTTCTGTGATGGATCGCAGAGGTTAGAATCTTGTATTGCTCGTCCACCGACTTGTACAGAGTTTCGCTAAATGCTTCTTTCGCCTGCCATACACAACAAAAGTATATCAATCACAATGAACTTGGAGAATTACTCCCATCTCGAAGCTAAAGTCGTAGTCAGACCTCGTTAGGGGTTTTGCAGTCCGCTGTGACCTCTGAGAAGTTGATTTCGGGCGCAATAGATAGTCCAGTACCGTGAAACCCAACTAATCGTTTCTCTCCAATTTCTTTCTCAACCTGGAGAGATGCAACAGCGAGATGATGAGAGAAAAGTAAAACCAGAGAAAGACCAAAACGGAGAAGAGAGACAGAGAGTTAGCTATATACTTGAGGTGGAGGGGGCATGATATCGTAGCAAAGTAAAGACATGGGATAGATATGTCCAGGAGCACCAGAATGTTCGACCAATCTTCTCATGTTGTCCACTGAAGAAGAATCAAAGGGTGCCTGAAACATTATTAGATCAGTTTATTATATGCATATCTACCAGATATATTACATATAAGATCTCTGCATTCCTTTAATTTGACTTACTGGAAACCATTCTCCAGTAGCAGGATCAGGACGGTCTCTTCCACCACTTGGCGCAATCCATATAAGTTGGGAGCCAGACCTACCCGTAAGGTTCATTAATAACAATTAAATCCACTTATCTTCGCTTCTATGAGATCTAATTCCAATAAACGTTACTTGTACAAACCTTAGCAGTGTAGCCATCTCCTTTAAGCTTCGTGTGTTTGCTTTTCTTTTCATCTCCACAAGCTCAGGATCATCGTTCATGTGCTTTTTCGAGTATACACATATGAGATTCCTGAAAGCAGGGGAAATTCCGGAAATCATACAACGACTTCAGCCCATCAGGTAGCATACCATTGTCAAAAGAGAGGTCATGATACCTTCCCATACTAAATGGCTTACAAAGAGGATCAGTGATGACTCGATCACCAGCCACACATTTCTGCAGCCAAAGAAACGGATAAGCATAGCGACAGTAGCATTATGATAGAAGAGCTCAGAACAAGGCTCCAAGGCTCACAATGTTTTCTCCAATGTAAGGACATTGTGCTTCAAGCAACAGGGAAATGACTGCCGGATCAGCTTCACTTTGATGATTTGATATCAACACGATATTGTGTCCCTGAAATTAACCAGTTACATGTTAAAGTCCAAAATGAAAAGAAGAATTCAACTATTAGTGGAAGCAAAATGCGTTAAAAAGCTTCAAGCGAGTTAAGTAGAGCACAAGAAAGAAGAAAGAGGACCTGCCGAAGCTTGTCTTCAAGCTCAGAGAAAATAGAAACATTTCCAACGTAAGAATTTCTGCATGACAGATAAATTTATGGGCTGTTACCACTTGATGGGAAGAAGTAAATTGTAAGATCCATTGAAACCAATCAAAAGAATTCGAAAACGATATTGATTTCTAATTGCATTCCAATGATAGATGATATATATGATAACTGTGAGTGCAGATTCCAGCTTACTTGAAATCAATTAAGGGGCGGATGTATGTATGGACAAACAAGTAGTAGTCAAATGGTTCTCTGATCGCTTTATGATACGGACTAAAAGTATAAGGATCCTGAAAAAGATTCACAACAGGACTATAAGCAACACAAGGAAAGAAACTCAAGTAGCAGAGAATTAAGATGATTTCTTCTTATAGAAAAACAATTCCAAGAGACTGATACAGACGCACCTCCACACCAAGAAGCATACGATCGAAAGCAACAGACATGTTTGATATAACAGTCTCATCTGCTCTGGAAGCTCCACTACTTAAAACCTTAAAAAAAATGCAAATCTCACTGAGCTGATGTTGTTCTTCAATCCAACAAAAAAATGGCAAAAGCATAGCACCAATCGTACAAACTACTGAGTGATAAAAGGATTCATTTACTGCATTTTTGTAGTTCCAATACAATTCTTCCATTCCTGATGCAACATTTTGAGGCAACCTTCCAGCTTCTGCCTCTTTCTTGATTCCAGATAAAAGATCTAAAAAAATGGAAATCAAGAACACACACAAAGTTACGCATCCAAAAAACACAATGTGAGGAGGATCCTGAACACATTCTTATATACATCTATGGTATGGAGTCAGTTAAGCAAGAATTGAGCAATACCAGAAGCAAAAAGACAAGAAAGAAAGAGTAAAAGAAGAAGAACCTTATCCAGTCACACAAGAAGTTTAATCAATTTCTATGAACATGAAGGAATCGGAAACATTCAATCACCATAACTTTGGATTCCGTCTCCGAATTTCGAAATTCCTCAGGAAGAAGAAGACTGACCTTGTTCACTGCGAGCATCTAAGAAGGTACGAGAATGGTTAAGCTCATGAGTCGTCGCATTACTACTACTCTCATCGGCATCATTGAAAGAAGTAGTACTCGCCGCGACGGTTGATTCCTTATCCTGAACAAGCTCCGACATGGCTTTCACACTCAGGGAAGAAGACGAAACGGTGGCGCCGCCGCGAGAACGAAGAGGAGGAAGCTTCTTGGAGGTTAATCGGAAGGAAACGAAGCGGCGAAGAGACGTCGGAGAGAGGAGGGGATTGAACGGAACCCTAACGGAAGAAGTTACGGTTGCAGAAGCAACGGCAACGGTTGCGGCGGAGGAGGAAAATGTGAGGGGCATGAGAGTCATTAATGCGTGTTTTTTGTTTTGTGATTGGACGATGCTACTGAGCGTGTGTGTGTGTGTATATGTGAAGGAGATTTGC